TCTGAAAAAATCATCAATAAAAGTGACAAAATAATACCTGCCACCAAGTGATGGAGTCTTGGCAGGTCCCCATACATCTGAGTGCACATAATCCAAAACACCTTTGGTATTATGGATGCTTGTGCCAAATTTCACTCTTCTTTATTTTTCCAAAACACAATGCTCACAAGATTCTAATTTACAAGCTTTCGTACCTTTCAATAATCCTTACTTAGCAAGATTTTGTAAGAATTTTTGGCCAGCATGTCCCAATCGCATGTGTTACAACTTTGTTGCCTCTGCATCCTTCTTGCTACTGGAAGATGTTGCTGCTGCTGCTGTCCCAACAACTGTACTACCTTGGTAGTAATTCAGATTATTCTTCCTCACACCTTTCAACATCACAAGTGCTCCCGAAATTACTTTAAAAATTCCATCTCGCATCTTCACTTCCAGGCCTTTTGACTGCAAGAGTCCTAAGGAGATGAGATTCCTCTTCAAATTCGGCATGTACCGAACATCCTTCAAGATTCTAGTGGGTTCATTATGATTACGCAGTTTGATTGAATCTATCCTACCTATTTTACATGGATTGTCATTTTTCATGTATACAACTCCATCAAGTTCTTCAAATTCAAAGAACCACTCCCACATGGGAGACATATGGTAGGTACAAACTGAATTCAAAATCTACTCATCTGGATGGGATGTTAAAGGTGATACAGCTAAAGAGAAATCTAATTCCATATTACTTTTGCATTCTGCAGCATTTACGTCTTGCGGAGCTTTTTCTTTCTTCTTTAACTTTGGACAGTCCTTCTTCCAGTGCCCTTTCTCACGACAGAAAGCACACTCATCTTTGGCAACTCTGCTTTTCAATTTGGACCTTCCTCTTCTCTCCTTTGATTGGCTTTGTTGACGACCTCTTGCCACTAATGCTTCATCTGCTGTAGCTATTTTCTTTTTTATTTTATCCTACTTTCTCAATTCATGACTATATAAAGCAGAACATACAACATCTAAAGACCCATTTTCCTTCCCATGAAATAATGTAGTTTTCAAATGTTCAAATTCATCAGGAAGGGATGACAACAACATAAAAGCCAAATCTTCATTTTCAAATTTCACATCTAAATTTAACAGGTCTGCTACTAACTGATTAAACATAGTGATGTATTCATTCATAGTAGTACCTGGTTGGTAATCGAATCGGAACAATTTTTTCTTTATTAGGAGTTTATTCTGACCACTCTTCTTCAGAAATTTCTCCTCCAATTCCCTCCACAATTTCCATGCAAAAGTCTCGTTTTTGAAAGTATATTTTTGCTCTCTGGACAAACACGATCGAATAGTTCCGCATGCCAACCGATTTATGGTACTCTACTCATTCTCTTCTATGTCATCTGGTTTCTTTTTTTCAATGGCAATGTCAAGACCCTGCTAGAAAAGGAAGTCTATGACTTCGCCTTGCCACATGCCGAAATGGCTAGTACCGTCGAATATCTCCACCGCCAGCTTCATACTTGACATTGGAGTCCTCGACCATGTAGACGAGGAAGCCGATGCCTCAGATGTAATTCTTGACGTGAAATCGTCTGATGCCATTACAGACTCAAATAATAGTATTCAATATAAAAATTACAAACAGGCCAAAAGACAAACCTTCGGCTCTGATACCACTTGTTGGGGAAATCGAATAATTTTTCACTCAAAAAATACAACTAGTGATTAAACCGATTCAATAATTTCCATGAAAGATCGTCGAAACAATCTCCTTAAACAGAATTATCATTCCAAGTAAATTCCCAGGAAAGGTTGAAGGGGTCACAAGCGGTCCCACTTAAAACCCAGTTTCCTAGACAGAATTTACGTGCACGGTGTATTATCACAACTAGACCTGTGTATACATAAATATTACGTACACACGAATAAGAAAATGCACCCAAATGAATCGTATAAAACACTACAAATAAACCCGACAAATATATTGAATACTATACTACAATAACAAAGAAACTACTAAAATAAATGTGAAATAAATAAAAGAAATAAGAAAAGAACGCACCCGAAAAATTGATAACGGAGTTCGGCCAATTTTGCCTAATCTCCGAGCACCGCTCAAGCGACCCGCTATTATAAATTTTGGGAGAAAAAAAATTACAAAATCCTTTTTGGTGTAATTCTTTTATTGGTGTTTGGTACATTTGATTGAGAAGAGGTTGCTAATTTATAACTAACAACCATCTCTTCTCAAGCCTAATCTCCCGATGTGGGATTTCTAATTGTGCCACAAATCAACAAAGGTAGCTTGGAAAAGTCAACAATGTTGGCTAAAAACAACACACACTCTCTCAATTTCTTCTCTTTCTTGTTCCTCAACCCTCTTTTTTAGCTCAGCCGCCACCTTTTTTCTTTCTCTGCTTGGTTTTTTTCCTCAAAACCCTTCTCCCTTGTGCTGAAAAACCCTTTCTCGGCCTCCCTTTCTCTTCCCCTCCTAAACCCTTTTTTTTTCCATTTTTCTTGCCTTTTCCTTTTCTTTGTTTGTTTGTTTTTTTTCTTCAAATTTTCCTAAGCTTCCAAGTGTTTTGCCACCTACCCCTCTCCTTGCATGTGGTGTCTAAAGAAAAAAAGAGACACTTGTCCCTTTTGCATGCATCCCACTTGGCCCTATTGCATGTGTGTCACGCATATTTTTTATTTTATAATTTTCCTTTTCAAAACCAATTGATGATAAATAAAATGCTAATTTCTAATTACCTTACAAAATGTCATTTTATTTAGAAAAAACTGAGTTTGAAAAAGATAAAAATGAATTTTTATTAAGAAATTTCTTTTTCTGAAATTTAATGCAAAAAATGTTTTAAAAAAAGAAAAGAAAATGATGAATCTTAATGTACCAAATTAAAACAAACACCAATTACTATTTTTCAACCTTAAATCAATTAAAATAAAATAATGAAAACAAGAATAAAAAATAATCAAAATCAAAATCAAAATCAAAATCAAAATAACAGAATAACAGAATAAAGCTAAAATTGAATTAAATAAACATTAAAATTTTGGTGTCTACACCCTTGTCACATGAATTCTAACTCTCCATTTTTGCTCCTCAAATTTTCATCCAAATTTAACTATACATACAAGATGGAAAAACTACACTAACTATATTAATCTACCTTATATAATGAACTAAGAAAATTCTAGTAAAAGCTACATTTTCTGGAGTTTCTCTAACCTTTCAAAGTTATAAAAAATGCTCTTCTAAGGCATCTTTTTTTTTAGGGGTGTCCCACAGGGAGTGGACCCCGCAGACTATTCCCCATCCTCCACAACTTACTGGCAGCAAGGTTCGAACCAGGGATCTAAGGCTCCATCTTCACCAACCTCAACCGCCAAACCAAGCCCCGGAGGGCACTCTTCTAAGACCTCTATTTATAGAGGAATTGAAGCAAAATACAAAATCGTAAATCATATTAAGATTCTCCTTGAGCCCATAAACAAGCTAGATTTGAGTTATAAAACTTCTTTGGTAGTTGTTCTGGTCTATTTTTTCTGAAATTCTTGTAGAAAAATGGGTCAAAAAGCTTCAAAGCATAAGTTGCATAACAAGTTGCAAGCAAAATTGAAGAATACGTGACCTAAAAAATGCAACCTAAGGTCGCATATTGTACCCCACATTTTGCCTTTTTCCAGGTTTACTCAAATTTGGTCAGTCTTCATCCTTGCTCTATTTTTGTACCAACTTCCTCTGATATTTTCTCGATGATAAAGGCTGAACTAACTCTTGTACAAAACATGAAAGTTGTAACCCTTTGAATTAGCTTTTCGATGCATAAAAAATTATCCAATTTGGAACTCAGTAGATGGACTTCTAGATCTTCATAGCAAATATAGAGCGATGTGTTAGTTTCAAAATGGTATAAGAATTACCTCGATCCAATACTTATAACTCAAGATATAGTCGAAATACCAATAGGTGTCAAGCTGAAAAACTCTATTTCTTTACTATTGATTGCATTTCATCTATTACACTTCATATTATCTTTAAAACTACTTCAAATAATCAACAATTATCCAATTATTTTCTCAACTCACTCCATTTGATGACTGAATCATTAAACCTACGAAAACATAAAGTTTTCATCATTAAAATCCATAGAAATGCAACTTTTGATACTCAAACTATAAAATGCATATTTTCACTAGAAACCAAATTAATTATTTATAAAAATAATTAAAACGCTTCAAAATAAATAAAAAAAACACATTTAAAACACTCAAAATATACACTTATCAATCTTAACCTTAGCTTTGTCAATCTCAATACTCTTGGGAGAAATTTTGTACCCTAAAATGATCCCTTCTCTAACCATGAAATGGCACTTCTCCCAATTAAGAACAAGATTTGTTCTTTACATCTTTACAAAATTAGATCCAAATTATTAAGACAATTATCAAAAGTAGATCCAAAAGCAGAGAAATCATCCATAAAAATTTTTATAATTTCCTCGTTATAATCTGAGTTTGAGAAAATAAACATCATGCAATGTTGAAATGTAGTGGGGACAGTCCATAACCCAAAAGGCATCCTCCTAAAAATAAATGTGTCATAAGAACAAGTGAATGTAGTCTTTTTTGATCTTCAGGAGCAATGATTATGTGGTTATACCCTAAGAAACCATCAAGAAAATAATAAAATTCATAATTTGCTAATCTTTTCAAAATTTAATCAAGAAAAAGGTAAGGAAAAATGATCTTTTCTAGTAGCAGAGTTAATCTTTCTATAATTTACACACACTCTCCATCCTACCACAAGTCTAAAAGGAATCAATTCATCATTTCTACCACAAATTATAGTGATTCCACCCCTTTTTTCGCACTGCATGTATAGGACTTACCCAAATGCAATCTGAAATAGGAAAAATTATACTTGCGTCCAACCATTTGAGAATTTCTAATATTACCACCTCCTTCATATTTAGATTTAGCCACCTTTGACTCTCAATCATCAGTTTCAAGATTCAGTGCATGCATATCATGGGGCTAATACCCTTAATATCGGAGATAGTCCATCCTATAGCCCTTAAATATTTCTTCAAAACTCTAAGAAACTTCTCAAGTTGCTCCATATTCAACTCAGCATTCACAATTACCGGCAATGTCTCATTCTCTCTAAGGAAGGCATACTTAAGGTGTTTTGGAAATGGCTTGAATTCAAACCTTGGCGCTTGTTCCTCCGATGGTGATGGAAGTTCCTTACTGACTCCTAGGCTCTCATATGAATTGCCTCTCTTGTAAGGTACTTGAACGTCTAAGTACTTGGCCATCTCTTCCACCTCTTTCTCTTGCATACCTATGCCATTTAATCAAAACTCAAGAGAATCATAGTCAAGATTCACTGGAATCATCTCTCTGGTTAGCTTTTCAATAATTCCAATGGAATAAACATGGTTAGCACAAGAAGGATATTTTTTCGTTTGGCTGAAGTGAAATTCTACCTTCTTCCCACCAACTTGGAATTTTAGCTTACCTCACTTAACATCAATGATTGTACTTGCAGTTGCCAAAAATGGTTACCTAAAATAATAGGCATGCTAACATCCTCCTGCATATCTAATATAACAAAGTCAATTGGGATGATAAAATTTTTTATTTTGATAAGTACATTCTTTAGAATACACATTGAATACCTAATAGAATGATCTGCTAGCTGCAATGAAATGTTAGTGTGTTTCAACTCACTTAACCCTAATTGTCTAACCATGGTCAAAGGGATTAAAGAGACATTAGCACCCAAATCACATAAAACTTTAGAAAATTCGACATTACCAATGGTGTAAGGGATGAAGAAGCTTCTCGGATATTTCAATTTAGGTGGCAATTTATTCTGGATGATAGCATTGCACTCCTCAGTCAATGCAATTGTCTCATAATCTTCCAACTTCCTCTTCTTGGTCATAATTTCTTTTAAAATTTTCCATAGGAAGGAATCTGCAAAATTGCATCAACAAAGGGAATGTTAATATGCAAATGTTTAAAAATCTTCAAAAACTTTTCAAATTTCTTATCAACCCTTAATTGCCTCAATTTTTCAGGGGATGGTATCGATGGTGGGATAGGAATAGTTTTGAAATATGAAGGTTCACTCATCAACTCTTTTCCTTTATTTTTGTGCCCTTCACTCCTTATTACCTCCTCACTCATCTCCTTTTCTTTTCTCTCACCTTCTTGTTCTTTTTCTTCCCTAACAACTTGAGGTTCACTCAATTACCTACAGCTATGTAAAGTAGTAGCCTTAACATGCTCTCTTGGATTAACCTCAGTTTTACAACGTAGTTCTCCTTGTCCCCTATTTTTTTTTTTTTAAACTGCCAATCATATCTGGCAGACGGGCAATACGCCCTTTTATTAAGAAACAACCAAAGAACAAGGAGCTAAAGCACAAAAACAAAAAGCCAACAAGCAAAACCTATCTACGAAGCGAGAAACGGAAATTGGGAACCTGCTCCCTATCTAAAACAAAGAAGGACCTAGACAAGCGTGGAAGAGAAGACAAAGTGGGATAATCCAAGTGCCCGCTACAAGCAACGCCCACAGCAGCCAGAGAGTCAGCAACCGTATTCGCCTCCCGGAAACAGTGGGAGAGACGAACCCCCAACGGCAAAATTGCTCGAATCGCTCTAATCAGCGGCCGTACCGCCCACGGAATCGAAAAACTCCCTGCCACCACACGAACCAAAACCTGCGAGTCAGACTCAACTTGGACCATGGAGAAACCCATCTGCTGGCACAGTTGGAGTCCATGAAGCATTGCATACGCCTCCGCCTGCAAAGAGTCCACCAGCGGTAACTTGGCCGCAAACGCTCCAAGGAACGATCCATCGGACCGTCGGAGAATCCCACCAATACCACTAGCACCGGCCGTAGATGAGGAGGACCCGTCAGTATTAAGCTTGACAAACCCATTCTGCGGGAATTCCCAACTAACCAAAGTAGAACTTAAGGGGCGCTGGATCCCCGAGATGGCGGACACAAGTCCCCCAAATTCAGGCGGAAGTGAACGCCCAGGAAACTTGACAGAACAAATAAGCCAAAGCTCATGAGATATAGAGTAACACAAGGTTTGGACATACCACTTAATGCCATCGAAGCGCCATTTATTCGAAGTCTTCCACAAAAACCAAAGAATGATCAATGACAAAATCCTGTACAACCACCAAATCGACATCTTACTCACAGGTTGAGACCACCAGGTCATACATCTAGTCCGATAGCCGCAAGAAGCCATCGGAATCCCCAACCGATACTCAAAAAATGACCAGACAGCCTGGGCCACCAGGCAGGAGGAAAACAAATGATCAGCCGTCTCTTGAGCAGCCAAGCACAACGGGCACTGGGAGGGCCCCGCAAACCGGCACCGAGTACGTAACACATCATCCAAAGGCAACCTACCGGAAAACAAACGCCATGCAAAACAGGAAACCTTAAGTGGAATGGAGGAATCCCACAGCGACCGGAAGACCAGAGACTTCACTCCAGCCCGACGGACCAGCTGGTAAGCCGAGGCCGTGGAGAAAGAGCCCGAGGATGCCAACTGCCAACAAGGCTGATCTGGCAGATCCCCAAAACACATAAAAGTCTCCCCCATCACCTCCAAAATCTCCGTAGGAAGGAAAGACGAGAGACAAACCCAGTCCCAACTCCCCTGAACACAAAAGTCACTAACCTTCTGGTCGGAAGAAAGGTCTGGAAACCGCCAGCCAAGGGGGCCCAAACCGCTCCAATTATCCCACCAGAAATAACAATCTCCCAGAGAAACGTCCCAACGGATCTGTAATTCCATCTGCTCACGAACTTGGAACAACCGCTGACAAATCGCCGAACGCGGCGGACCAACCACCACCTGATTAGGATGACCTCCCCGAAGGTACAAACTAGACAAAAACCTCACCCACAGAGAGTCCTGTTGATGAAAGCGCCACCACAATTTACAAGAGAAGGCCTTAGAAATAGACTGCAAAGATCTAACCCCTAGGCCCCCCTCCTCCACAGGGAAACACACCTTAGACCAACCACACCAGTGAAAATGGTTATCCCCCAAAAAAAACCGCGCAAACATCCTCTCAATCTCCCAAATTGCCCCTCGAGTGGGCTCCAAGACTGCAAGCAAGTGAACTGGAATGGACGTAAGCACATGCCGAATAAGAATCAGCCGCGCCCCCATGGAAAGCCACCGATTCTGCCAGGACAGCAAACGAGCCTGAACTTTATCTATGATCCCAGCAAACAAGGACTTAGATCGCCGACCTTCATACAAGGGGCACCCCAAATACGTGATAGGCAAAGACTTACGAGCAAAACCCGTTTCCTCCGCAACCCTCCGACTGCGAAGACCAGAAACCTTCTTAGAGAGTAAACAACAACTCTTCGAGGCATTAACCAGCTGACCAGACACTCGCTGATAATCAGTTAAAACACCCATGACCTTCCGCACCGAAGCCCGCCCCCCATTGCAAAAGATAATAACGTCGTCCGCATACCCCAGATGCACAGGGGGGGACCCTCCCGAAGGAACCGAATAAGGGATGAAACCACTAGAGAGCGGAAGAGACTCCAGACCGCGGGACAGGAACTCCGCCATAATGATGAAAAGCGCTGGAGACAGCGGATCACCCTGCCGCAAACCCCTAGTGGACCTAAAAAACCCGACCGGACCACCATTGATCAACACTGAAAAATGACAAGAGGAAACCAAATGCCAAACCATGTCCAACCAAACCTCACCAAACCCGAATTTCCGCATAACAGATAGCAGAAACATCCACGATACCCTGTCATAGGCCTTGGCCATGTCCAGTTTCAAAACCACATTAGAACCCCGGACCTTTCTCCCAATCCTAGAAATCATCTCCTGAGCAAGCAGAATGTTATCAGAAATGGCCCTTCCCTTAACAAAACCACTTTGCTGAGGGGAAATGAGTCGGGGTAGAACTTTTTCCAGCCGAGCCGCAAGAATCTTGGAAATAATCTTGTTCGAGAAATTACAGAGACTAATCGGCCTAAAATCGGCGAAGGTCTTAGGGGCCGACTGTTTAGGAATCAAGGCCAACAAAGTGGCCGAAATTCCACACGGGAGATCAGCACCAACAAAGAAATCCGCGACTGCATCTGAGAGGTCCCCTCCTATAATATCCCAGCAAGCCTGATAAAAGGACCCTGGGAACCCGTCCGGGCCTGAGCAACTGTCCCTATCCAAAGAGAAGACCGCCCCTCGAACCTCCTCAGCAGTAGGAAGCCGTTCCAAATCCAGAATATCATCCTCCGACAAAATTGTCGGGATTCGAGACAATTCATCCCCCGTCACCTGATCCAGTGGCCCCTGGGTAAACAAGTCAGAGAAGAAAGTCTCTGCCATCGCATGAATAGAACCTACATCATCAGTCCACGCACCAGAGGAAGTCTGAAGCCGATGAATACGAACCTTTACCCTGCGTTGACGCACATAAGAGTGAAAAAACTTAGAATTGGCATCTCCCTCCTTCAGCCAACGTAACCTCGATTTCTGCCGCCAGAAGATGGCCTGACGCAACAAAGCTTCCTTCAAGACCGACGAAGCCTGCACCAGCCACAAGTCCACTTCCGGGGATGGTCGGGCCGCCGCCTCAGCCTCCAACTGAGCAACCTCCTCCTCGGCCTGTTTTACGGCATCGAACACGTTACCGAAAACATTTTTGTTCCAAACAGTCAAAGCCGCCTTAACCGCCTTCAACTTATGCAAGAAGCGTCGCATCGGTCGGCCAGTGCTACCAGAGAGCCAGGCCTCCTGAACAACGCCCTTAAAACTAGCATGCCGAAGCCAAACATCTTGGAACCGGAAGCTCCTCGGAGATGACGAGCTTGAAATCAAGTAAGAAACCAGCAACGGAGAATGATCAGAAGCAGTGCGCGCCAAGTGATGAACCGAAGGCACCACACCACTACCCAACCAGTCGCGATCAACCAGGACTCGATCCAACCGCTTCCAGACCCGCGCCCTACCCTGACGATTATTACACCACGTAAACTGGTTCCCAGAGAATCCCACATCTGTTAAGTCCAAATCCTGAATGAAAGCATGGAAGTCCTCCGACTAAGCCCTGCGAAAAGGCCGACCTCCTCTCTTCTCCTCCGCATACAAGATTACATTAAAGTCACCATGAAAGAGAAGAGGAAGACCCAACACCTGCAAAGCACGTAAGTCCGCCCAAAGCTCGCGGCGGTCACTGACTGAGCAGGCCGCATGCACAAAGACCCCAACCACCTCAGTACTCATCTGAGAGTGCGTCACGCGGAGGGCCAAATACTGAGAAGATTGACACACAATAGAACAAGAAAATTCACTAGAGTAAAAAACAACAAGGCGGCCATCATTGGTAGGACAACAACCATCAAAGCCCAACCTCTGGCGAATCCAATCAAAACGAGAAGCATCCATTTTGGGTTCACAGACCCCTAACAAGGAAAATTCATGCAATAGACGCAACTTACGTAAACGAGCTATAGTGATGGAGTTATCTAAACCCCGAACATTCCAAAACAATGACTTAAACATCACGTAAAGGAAAAGAAGAAGAGTGAGGGGGAAAACCTGGCGGGGCCGCGACCACCCCAGGCTACCTCTGTTTCAAGTCGCCTCGCCGGCGTTTAAGCGCCTCCATGGCCGCCAAGGGTGGAGCAGCTTTGCGTGGAGAAAGATTCAATTCTAATATTGCAACCTGCTCCTGCTGCATGCGCACCGACGAAGCGGTCTCGTCATCAACCGCCTCCGCAGCCACCTTGTCGGCAAGGTCATCAAAGATCGCCTCTGTAGCCGAGGCAATAGCGTCTTCCACCAGCTGCTCCACCACTGCACCAGGCTCCTGCTGCCCTGCGGTAGCAAGCAGCGACAGAGGGACCGCTGCCTCCTCCACCTCATCCTGGTGTTCGTCATCCGAAGCCTCCTCCACAACTACATCATCCAGGTCTAACGGAGTCCCCTTGTGAGTGGCCTGCATCCCCAGAAGGGCCGAGACTTTTTTTCCCTGCCCATCCCCCGCAGTCGGGGATGCTGCCGCCACTGGCTCAGCAGCCTGGGCACTCGACCCAGGCCCAGGCACCGCATCAGGCCCGAGAACCACCCCCGACACTCTGTGCTTCTCGCCCACAAGCGCAGGCGCAACCAATTCCCCCGTCGCCGCTACCTTCTCACCCGCCACAGCCGCAGCCGGCAGCCGTCCCTTGCGTCGTCCCTGAGGCTGCGCCTCCCCAGTGGGCCGAGCCTGGGCCTTCAACTCCGGATGAAGCATCACGCAGTCATCCTTGCTATGCCCCTGTCGAAAGCACCCAGAACAGTAGGCCGGTAGATGCTCAATATCAAGATTCTGCCAGAACCCCTCCTGTCCGCCATTCCTAATCCAAACCCGGGACACTAACGGCTTCAGGAGATCAACCTCTACGCAAACCCTAGCCACGCTGGGACGGGACAAGGCTGCGGTAGCAGCATCAACGTAGAGCGGCACGCCCAACGTAGCAACAATCTGAAACAAGCACTCTCGATTGAAAAGATGAATGGGAAGTTTGGGCAAAGACACCCACACCGGAACCACAGACGGCTCCCGGTCCACATGAAACGAAGGCGTCCACTTGAACAGCTTCATTGGCCGCCCCTGAACATACCAGACCCCACGAAGCCATAAACGATGATAATCCCTCTCATCTGCAACCCTGATGAAAATGTGACGGGGATCGAGCAGCCCAACAGAGACAGGCTGCTTGAGATCAAGCGTGACGAAAAATTTACGAACCAGCTCCAGCGAAGGTCGACCCCGAGCAAACTTCCCAACCAGCGCATATCGAAAAGGGTCGGACAGCTTGTGTATCACCTCCTGTGAAAAGATCAAAGCAGGCTCTCCACGGTGTGTGGAGGCCGTCGCCTGAACCGAGAAGGCTGGCGCAGTAGGACTCATGAACAGATCCGAAAAGGACTGCTGGATCTTCGCAGGTAGAGGCTGCCCCCCAACACCCGGATGGGGGGCCTCCGAGGAAGCCATGCAAACCCTAAAAAAAAAAAACCCTAGTGAGGAGACTAAAGAAGAGAGAGAGATTGCCCACCAGACCCCATTACAAAAACTAAAAAGTCCTTGTCCCCTATTATTTATAGCATTAGTTATTTACCTAATTTGGACTTTCACATTCCTATACATGTTTGTAAGTTGATTCATGCTCTCCTTAATGCTTTCCATTCTTTGTGTGGTAGTACTAGCTAACTTATCAATTCTATTATTTGTCGCATTAGCTAGTCTCAATTGCTAATTCCCAAGAGCGCTTGGTCTCTTGAGGTGATTGCTTTGGTTGGAAGTCAGGTGGTTTTGTCGGCCTTTGTTGATTTCCTTGCTCCTTCCATCCAAAATTAGGATAGTTTCGCCACCTCGTATTTTAGGTACTAGAATGTGGGTTGTTTTGGAGTTGATGACCATAATTGTTGAGGTATTGTATTTGTTCAATACTAGCACAAGTAGATTCATCATGAGTACCTCCACATAGAGTACAACAAGCAAGAACTATGTTCATATTAGAAGTCAAACTGGAACCAACTTGCCTATTAAGCATTTTCACCACATTATCTATTTTAGCATTCAAGGAAGTCAAACTATCAATTTCAAATATATTTGCGGGTCTCCTCGTGTTACCTCACTAATTGGCCCATTGATAATTATTTACGATAATTTCCTCTATTAGTTGTTGAGTTTCCTTGGCCGACTTACCCATCAAAACTCCACCAGCTACTGCATCTACATGCGTCTTCGATGGATAGGTGAATCCATTGTAGATTGTTTGGACTATGAGCCAATCGGATAAACCATGGCGAGGGCATTTTCATTGTAAATCCTTGTAAATTCTAATAGTGCTCCTAAGTTTCGTACAATATCTCTCCTTCCTGTTGACAAAAATTAGTTATATCCATGCGAAATTTAGCAGTCTTGCCAAGTGAAAAGAATTTATTTCGAAAAACTTTTGATAAATCAGCCTAAATGGTGAATGTATTAGGAGAATGTGATTGTAATCAAACCTTAGCCTTGTCTCTTAATGAGAATGGAAACAATCTAAGTCGAATTGCAGCATCACTAACACCATTAAGTTTAATTGTATCACATATTTTTAGAAATGTAGACAAATGAAAATTCAGGTCTTCGGTAGCATTATCTCCATATTCAGATTGTTGCACCACTTATATAAGAGATGGTTTAATCTCAAAATTATTAGCATTTACCGTAGGTGATACGAAATATGGGCCGCTTATGGGCCATGTTTTGGGCTGCAAGAGATTGAATCTTTTAGTAATAGTTAGTAGTTTATTTTCTAGATTTCTATTTTATTTGCTATGAATAAATTCGGTCCAAGACCTCATGTTGAGTTGGATCCGATTTATAGAGTCTAGGCTCACTATAACTTAAGTTGGTTAATTAGCTTTTATTGGGTTATGTTGGGCCAGCTTAAAGCTTTCATTGGATCGATTATAAGCTGACCATTAGATAGGGATTTGAGTAGTGGAATCGGGCCAAAGGCCTAGCCTAGCCGAGTTAGGGTTTTCAAGTCACTTTAGGTTTTCAAGTTGTAAGCCTATATATAGCCTAGGTTTTCATTCATTAAAGGAGAATTCAGATTTTATAAAATATTCGTGAGTTTATTCACTCTCTCTTGCCTCAAGAGAATTTCCTTTGAATACTTGAGAATTAATCTCAAGTTGTTCATCGAACTTATCAATCAAGTAGTCTCCTTGATTGTGGCGTTCTTCTATCCATACTTTTGGTTCACTAAATTTGCTAGTCGTGGGTTAAGGAATCTCCTTAGTTCGTGGCTCGTGATTATAGAAGGGTCAAAGTTCCGCCAATCATCCCAACTTGGTGTTCGTCTAGATCCGTCTCACGTCAGTTGGTATTCAGAGCTAGTCGACGACATCAAGTATATCCCGTTGAGTTTGTTCGTAAGCTTCCTAGTCAATTTTATTTTGCAAATCTGGTCGTGTCTCTCTTTGTGTCAAGTCCGATTGTTATTAAAAAAAAAAAAAAAAAAATACTGTAGCATCGTACTGTTCATCGCTACTGTAGCGACTCAAAAAATACTGTTGGTGCATCGTACAAAAAAAAAAAAAAAAAAATCCCGCTAGGGTTTCCTTTGGGCGCAAGTTTCTTGCCAAATCTGTCCAAACTTTAGTTTATTCCACCAAGTTGTTTTAATTAATTTCCTAAACTGATTTTGTGGTTGAACTTGTTTGGGGTTGGAATCTTGGAGAGGGACTACCATAATCTAGGGTTTCTTGAGTTTCTTGAAACTAATCTTGAAGTCTTGAAACTTTGATACATGTCTTGATAATTATTGGAGGATTGAAGGAGAACATTGGATTGACATTAAATTCTGGAATTCTACCCAAAAAAAACAGCCGAGTAATTGTGTGTTCTTAGAGTCAAAAAAAAAAACAAACAGAAAAAGGAAAAGAGAAAAGGCATTCGGGTAGCAAACAACAAAGAAGGAAGCCGCACTTTTATTTGCCAAATTCTGTCTTGTTGCACTTGTTCCAACAAACCAGAAAATTACATCAAGAAAAGACTACTCAAAAGTTTTGACCAACCTCCTCTTGAAAATCTTGCACACCTTGAGCCTTGATCACTTGTATCACCCGTTGAGTTTTTTTGAGGATCTTGACCATCTTGATTCTTGAAGATTTGCACCTCCCTACGTATAAACAGTTTCTTGTACGTCCTTGCATCCATACGGGGCTTTCTTGGCTTAGGAGTAAACCTCTTGGGAGTTTCTTGAGCAGGCCGCTTGGGGTATTCTTGGGTGACGTTGCTTGTGTCATCTTGTGAAGCCATTGTTTAGCACCAAGCGTCAAAACTGTCCTTGTGTGGAGCAAAGAGGGGAGGGCCGAATTGTTGTTCTTGAGGGAGAGTAAGGGACGAAAATTTTGAGGGGATTTAAGAAGAGGCAATTCTGGAAAATTTTGGGGTTAGGAAGCTACCAAATCTGGAAAAATTTTTAGGAAATTCCAGCCGACTTTGAGGGGAATTTAAAAAGACAAGAAATCTGGAATTTTTTTCGTGGAAGCTATTCTGATTTGATAAGGTAACAAATCTGGAAATTTTCAGCGGTTAGGAAGCTACCAAATTCTGTTTTGCAGCCGACTTTGGAAGGTTTAAAAGGAGCAGAAATCTGGAAATTTTTTTAGCTACCAAATTCTGATTTGTTATAGCCGACTTTAGGAAGGTTTTTGGAGAGGGAATCTGAAAAAATTTTGGTAATAATTCTGTTTGGTTAGCCGACTTTAAGGAAATTTCCAAATAAGTCCAACACCTAACTTGTTTCCAAAAATCAATTGGGCAATTAAGTAAAGCACTTGGGAACTCCATCATCGTACTTGGACTTTCTTTTTCTTTGTACATCAATTTTTTCCTCTTC